ATTTTGAACAACATGAGGTAGTGAGGGGAGGGGGGGAAAGGGCAGAGTGGGGGGAACTTGCCCCACTCACCCCACGCACCTCGCCTGGCTACCAGGCTGCTTCTTTCTGCTTCTTTCTTCTTCTGCTTTTGGCTGCATGCAAGGAAAGCAGCCAAAGTCTTTCTTTCTCTCCCCCAAACTCTGCCAGAAATGAGTCTTTGGGACCCTGCAAGGCCTCCTGCTCCAAAGACTCCTTTCTGGCGGAGTTTGGGGAAGAGAAAGAAAGACTTTTGCGGCTTCTGCTGCTTTCCTTGCATGAAGCCAAAAGTCTCTCCCTCTGTCACTGAGAACGGAGCTGGAGGTGATATCCTGCGATCCCAAATAAAGAACGATCGAGTGAAAGGAAAATGGGGTGGGGAATTTTCCTGCAGACTTTGGGGGGGGGATTTTCCCAGGGTCTCTGGGATTTAAAATTATGAGTTTGGTGGTCCCTGGGATCCGAAAGGTTGGTGACCCCTCGACTAGATGACCTCCAACGTCATTTCCAAATTTGTTATTCTGTTAAAGCTGCAGCTCCACTTTTCGAATAAAAGTTGGGATCCTAAAAGGTGCTATCAAACCCCCTTGGAGCTCTCCTTTAAAATTCTGATTTGCCCCATGGTTTCATGAGTCCTGCATTCAGCCAAACTGTTTTTTTTAAAAAAATCTCTTCTTCTGGTGCCTTTGATCAGCCATTCCCAGGTCAGAGTGGCCGGCGTCTGAAAGGAGCCAATTCTGCAAGTCAGATGAAGATGATGAGATTTTGAGGAAGGAAGGTGTCACACACACACACACAAGCACACACAGTCCTTATTCCTAGGGCAGCCAGAATGTTTTAGAGACGTTCCTAGTTTGTTTTCCTTTCGGTTCCACGTCATTAATGCTCTTTCACCGCTGCTGCCTCTAACTCTTTTGTGGTTTTCTTGTAAATGTTGTCACAGTCTTTGCCTCTTGGAGCAGCCTCTTGGAGCAGGAAGGCCTTGCAGTGTCCCCAAGACTCCTTTGTGGCGGAGTTTGGGGGAGAGAAAGAAAGACTTCTGCTGCTTTTGTTGCATGCACCAAAAGCAGAAGAAGAAAGAAGTGGAAAGAAACAGCCCAGTGGCCAGGTGCGTGGGATGAGTGGGGCAATTTCCCCCCCCCTTCCCCCTTTCCCCCCTCCCCTCACTACCTCGTGTGGCTCCCAATGCAAGCGACGCAAGCGCAGCCTGGATTCATTGCTTTGGGGGGAGGGGGGTGACATTTCTCTGCGGACCAGCAAAATTTTATCACAGACCACCAGTGGTCCCCAGCCCACTGGTTGGCAACCCCTGTGCTAGTCCAACCCCTGTGCTGGAGCAGGAGAGTCTCTTCCAAATATTAGCCTCTACCCAGGATCGAACTCACAGCCTCTTTCATTAATTGTGTGGTTGGAAATGGTGCTGACAATCCTTGATTGATTGATTTACGTTTTGCCGCAACAGACTAACAAGGCCTGCTCCTTCTCCTACCATCTCACCAAAGAGGCAAAAACTCCCAAGACACAAACGGAAGGCGGGGGGGAGGGGGAGGGGTATCCATATTTTCAAAAATGAGGAAAGGAAGATCCAGAGAAAGTGACGGCCAGAGATATTCAGCCGGGGACACTTCGGACTCAGGGACGGCTGCAAAAATGGACGGAGTGAGCAGAGGTGGCGAAACTGATGGCTCTGCTGGAAGAAAAGAAGAGCACAATTCATTTCTGCTTGGAAACCACTTTTGAGGACTTTGGACAAAAATGGAACTTTGAGTTTGAGTTTTGTTGTTGTAGAAATGGCTGTATTACTATGTAAAAAGCTGAGGCCGTGTGTAACTATCTTATTCTAGGGCACTAAAAAGAATCAGAAGTCAATGCTTCCCTCCCCACCCTTAACGTGAAGAGAAGAGAAGAGAAGAGAAGAGAAGAGAAGAGAAGAGAAGAGA